AGGTTATTAAGAAGGAGGACTCAGAGACATAGGAGAGTATAGGTAAAGGAGGGAGGAGTGATCATTGGCATCACATGCCGCTCAGAACTTGGGAAACGGAACTGAAAAACATTCTGCAGATTTACCAAAACAAAAGTCAATGATGACCTAAATGTATTAAATGTTTCAGGGAGCCATGGCAACAGAATTCAAATTGGAGAGAGTAAGAAAGGAGTAGAAACGGAGGAAATAGAGGCCAAGATACAGGCAATACTTTGGATAAACTTAACTTGAAAGAGGAAATGATACACGAGGAAGTAATTGGAAGACAGTATGCAGTTAAGTAACGAGGTGAGACTTAAATCCAGTTTTAAATTCAAGACTGAATTCTAGAAATGTCTGTTTCTAGTCTACCCAACACCACTGTTTGAGTTTGCATGCTAGCCCATGAATCTTTCCTTCTTTTCTATTTTCAGTTAAAAACGACTCACGTAAGGTTCATCTATAAAAGAATGTTCTGAAAGATTTAAGTATTTTATTTCACTAAGTATTTCATTTGAAGTGTAACTATCCCTTAAGTTTGTGTTGAGCATTAAAACCCTTGCTTTTTTAAAAAAAATATTTATTTGTTTTGAGAGGTAGAGTTGCAGACAGAGAGAGAGGTGGAGTTGCAGACAGAGAGAGAAAGAGAGAGAGAGAGAGAGAGAGAGAGAGAGAGAGGCCTCCCATCTGCTGGTTCACTCCCCAAATGGCCACATCAGCAGAGGCTGGGAAGAGGAGCAGCTAGGACTAAAACCAGTGCCCATATGGGATGCTGGCAGTGTAGGCAGAGGATTAACCTACTGTGCCACAGCGCCAGCCCCTCCAATGATCTTGCAATTCCTCTAGACTTTCCACAAGGAGGGCAAGAAATGGCTGAATGACATCTGCTACTTGATCCTAGAGCAACATCTTTAAAACTTCCCCCTCTTCTACAATCAGCAGCAGTAATAACATGAGGAGGAGGAGTTATCATCTTAATTCTATTTACAAAGCCCAGCACTATCTCTGGCTAAATTTCTGCTACAATTCCATGTTCTGATAAGGAAATTGAGATCACATACTGATAATGCTGGTGCTCAGATGGGAATAGCAATCTCTGAACTCCTGTCTTTGGATCAGTGGTTTTTAAATACTGAATCCCTGCCGGCATCGCGGCTCAGTAGGCAAATCCTCCGCCTTGCGGCGCCAGCACCCCAGGTTCTAGTCCCGGTCGGGGCACCGGATTCTGTCCCGGTTGCCCCTCTTCCAGGCCAGCTCTCTGCTGTGGCCAGGGAGTGCAGTGGAGGATGGCCCAAGTGCTTGGGCCCTGCACCCCATGGGAGACCAGGAGAAGCACCTGGCTCCTGCCTTCGGATCAGCGCGGTGTGCCGGCTGCAGCGCGCTGGCCGTGGCGGCCATTGGAGGGTGAACCAACGGCAAAGGAAGACCTTTCTCTCTGTCTCTCTCTCACTGTCCACTCTGCCTGTCCAAAAAAAAAAAAAAAAAATACTGAATCCCTTCAAGAATATGATGAAAGTTACATCTCCTCATAGAGACAAATGTGTAAGAATGTAACCAACAAGACTTTGAGCACAATTTAAAGAGGTTTATTGATGATCTGAAGTACGGGAGGCCCTTCCTCTTGGTTATATGGTCGCCACTTCAGAGTGCTAATTGATGCATTACATGGTGTAATCCCTCTCAATGGTAATGGTGCCAAAATCAGTGAGCACTTAGAAGGGAAAGCTTGTGCAGCTTTCTCCAACAACTTGCCAGGATCAATCTTCCTTCTCAACACCCTGGCAACACACTGTCCAAATTCTCTTGCTGCTCTGTGCAGGTGTCTCCCCAGTGAGCACCTTGGTGGAATGGAATATATAACACACCTACCTGCTAAAACCACAACAACAATTTCTATCACTACCAGCATTACTTAAGAACACTTACTATGGCTTGGCAATTAATTAACACTAATGGCCAGCCACTGGGGCTGGCGCTGTGGTGCAGCAGGTTGAAGCCTGGGCCTGCAGTGCCAGCATCCCATATGGGTGCCAGTTCTAGTCCTGGCTGCTCCATTTCTGATCCAGTTCTCTGCTAATGCACCTGGGAAAGCAGCAGAGGATGGCCCAAGTCCTTGGTCCCCTGCACCCACGTGGGACACCCAGAGGAACTCCTGGCCCTTGGCTTCATTTTGGCTCAGCTCCAGCTGTTGTGGCCATTTGGGAAGTGAACCAGAAGATGGAAGACCTCTCTCTCACTCTCTGATTCTGTCCTTACCTCTCTCTGTAACTCTGTCATACATATATATATATATATATACACACACACACATATACATATATATATATATATATATATAGGCAAGCTACAATTCTAATTCATTTAATTTTCTCCACAATCTTATGAGGTGTTTATAATTGTTTCCCTTTAGAGTGAGGTACCAAAGCCCAGAGAGGTTAAACAAACTTCCCAGGGACATACAGCAAATAAGGGGTGTGGCTGAGACACAGGCAACCTGGCTCCAGAGTCTATGATATGAACTTCATCTTGGACTTAAACTCTGGGACTGTTGTAAAATACCTTAACTTTCTTTAAAAAGCCCAGCAAGTAAGCTTTCTTATCTTGAAATTTATTGATTTATAATAATTTTATGAGTGCTTATTTCAAAATAATTTTAGATTTACACAAAAAGTTGCAAAAATAGTAGAAAACTCATCTAAGAAGTTAATATAAATATTAGTACTATCAAGTAGTCTACCAGTGTTTGAATCCTCAACAGTTTTTCTTCACTAAGGTCCTGTTTGTGGTCCAGGTTCTAAACCATGATCACAAATTGTTTTTAGTTGTTGTATCTGCACAGATCCTTCACTATTTAAGTTTCATTATCAGACCGGCACTGTGGTGTAGAGGGTTAACGCCCTGGGCTGAAGCACCGTCATCCCATTTGGGTGCTGGTTTGAGACCCGGCTGCTCCACTTCTGATCCAGCTCTCTGCTTAGGCCTGGGAAGACAGTGGAGTATGGCCCAAATCCTTGGGCCCCTGCACCCATGTGGGAGACCCGCAAGAAACTCCTGGCTCCTGGGTTCGGATCAGTGCAGCTCTGGCTGTTGTGGCCAATTAGGGAGTGAATCAGCAGATGGAAGACCTCTCTCTCTCTCTCTCTGCTTCTCCTCTCTCTGTGTAACTCTAACTTTCAAATAAATAAATAAATAAATCTTTTTTTAAAAAAAAGCTTCATTATCTTATTTCAAGCACACTGGCTGATTACTTTGTAGAATCCCCTTCAGTTTGGGTTTGTCTGATGTTTCCTCATGTTTACATTAAGACTATAGATTTTGGGCAAGAATATCACAGAAATGAGGTTGTGTGCACAAAAAAAGAAGGCCTGCGTTCTCTTACTGTTGGTGCTGTTGGCTATGATCGCTCAGGTAGCTGCTGTCTGTCGGACTTCTCCACTGTAACGTGACCGTTTTTCCTTTTGCATTAACAAGTGTCTTGTGGTGAAACCTTCTGGGCTTGCAAATGTCTTATCTTCCATCACACCTATACTGATTTTAGCATCTACTGATGATCCCTGCCTGCAACAGCCAAGACTGTGGCTTTGCCTAACGGTGGTGTTTCTGCTTCCATTACTTTTACTTCTCACACCCATCATTTCGTTTTTTTTTTTTTTTTTTTTTTTTCCCAGAAAGCTTTTATTTAAGGAACACAAACTTACTGCATTTCATAAAGACAACTTTAGGAGCATAGTGATTCTTCCCACCATACCTGACTTCCCACCCACACTCCTACCCCTCTTCCTCCTCTCTCTCCTATTCCTGCTCTTATTTATTTCTTTTACCGTAAGTCCATAGTCCCTACAGTGGACAAGAAGACTATCCGTTCTTCTCCACTTATATATTTCTTCAGGTATTTCCTTATATCAATAGAGATTCATTGAATTACTTTATATGCTCATTATTCAATTTGTTGAGAAAATTGTTCCCAGTTAGACCAATAAGAGTTTATTAAAGCTTGGCCTATGGACTTTGAGTAAACTTTTTACTTTCTGGCACCAAAATATGTTCCTGTGTTTTCCCTGCCTCAGCCACAGAATCAGCCATCTTTTTAAGTAGCTGTGATTACTTTTATTGAAGAATAAGAGAATAGTATTTACAAACCAAGACCTCAGTATTAGATGTGCAGATTGCTCCAAGGGTGCCATTGCTTTGAGGTCAGCTCAGCAGAAAGAGTAGGGAACAGATGCATGTATATTCACATATGAATGTACATATTTATATTTATTTCTGTGTACATCCAATTCTGGGTATATGTGTATGTAAGTATACATATTTATGGGAGGAAGCATGAGGTGTCACTATGATTCTAGAACTTAAAGTACAACAAGGTATAAAATTTCTACTGCCCCATTCTTATTACCCCATTCTTTTTGTCCTGTTCCAACCCATCCTCCATAGGTAACTAATGTCATTAATTTCTCATTTAATTTTCTGCATTTCTTTTGCAAAAATGAATAGACACACATATTTTCTTATATATCCTGTTTCTTATATGAAAGGGAGCACATTATAAACACTCCTTAGACTCACCTTTCTTTACTTAACATACCCCGGAAACTACTAGATCAGTTATAATCCTCAGATTTACAGATGAAGAGGCAGGTTTAAAGAGGCTGAAAAACTTGCTCGAAGTCATCCATCTAGTAATAAGTAAACATGGAATGTGTGCCCAAATTTTGATTCCAAACTCCATGGTCCTTTTACAACAGATCTTATCACCCACGGGCATTGGGTATGTTCTTGGAGAAACCCTGTGTTCTCTGATGTTGTTTTAGAAGTGAACACAAATATGTCTGCGTAATCGGAATGACTACCTTATAACCAAGTACTACCCACATTTCACTGTTCATGGGACCCAAAGAACATGCAATTGCCCACAGTGAGTGCCCTGCATGCAGTCACAGAAGCAGAGCTGTGAGGGTAACAGGACGAGTAGTTACCTAGCTGTGGCCTTGGCTTGTAGTTCTGGGAAAGCAGCGTGACCTTGCACCATGTGGTCTATCTGAAAAACAAGAAAGATGGGTCAATTTTATAACCTTTCTAATTTATACTTAAGCCAGAAAAGAGATATATTAAAGTGTCTGTTTCCTTCAATTCTTTGTCCATGGACAATCTAAGAACATTAAAATGCTAAATCAACTCTTTTGGAAATCCAGCTGTGCCAAATCTAGTGCCAGCCTCTGGGATTTATTAAACAAAGACGTTCAAAGAGAAGAATAGCAGGAAATGAAACTCCCAAGGCTGAACTGGTAGCAGAAAGTAGCATCAGGCTCAAGGCTGAGGTGTGATGAGAAAGGGTGACTCAAGGTACCTGGTAGGGGGTCTGGCTGTTAAAGCACTAACTGTCTCTGGATTCTATCATCTTCTCCTCCCATTCCAGGCTGTCACCCAGGGCGATGTCAAACCTTAAATTACTCACTGAGTCTTAATAACAGAGAAGCTGAGTGGAAAAGACGATGATGAGGGAGTCCCAGTAAATGCAGTGCCCAGAGCTGTCAAGACCACCTCTCCTGATGGAAGAGCTGTCACACGGGAAACTGGAACAGCTCTCTAAGGACAGCCATGTCTGGGCTCTGTAGATTACCATCTTCTCATTTGAAATCCTGTGTCTCAGTTTTACTCCTTAATCCTCCTGGTGACTCTGAACAAATTGGCATGTAAAATGCATCAGAACTGTTTCTCTGCTTGCTATTACACAGCACTGTGCCTGAGTTCCTGGACCTCTCTGTGTATTTTCTGAATGTTTATTTCAGTGTCCAGAACTCTAAAATAACCATTCCAACTGATTTATTTTCATTCAAACTCTGCATAGACTGGCTACTCTGGCCTCATGGGGACAGGCTCTGAGCATGTTTCCTGAGAGCCAGGGTGATGTACAGAGGAAGAAAATTTGTTCTCGGGATCCAGAGGCAAGCTTTGGGTTCTCGCTCTGTGACTTCGTGGAAGTCACTAAACAGCTCTGAACCTTAAAAAACCAGCCTCATTATGAAATAGAAAAAGGAAAGTGCTAGAAAGTAAAGTGTGATGCCAGCACTGTGGTGTAGTAGGCTAAACCTCTGTCGGCAGCGCCAGCATCCCATATGGGTGCCGGTTCTAGTCCCAGCTGCTCGTCTTCCAATTCATCTCTCTGCTTATGGTCTGGGACAGCAGTAGAAGATGGCCCAAGAGTTTGCACCCCTACTCGAGTAGAAGTTCTGGAAGAAGCTCAAATGGGAGTCCTGGAAGAAGCTCCTGGTTTCTGGCTTCAGACTGGCTTAGCTCTGGCTGTTGTAGCCACTTGGGGAGTGAACCAACAGATGGAAGACTTTTCTCTCTGTCTCTCCCTCTCTCTGTCTGTAACTCTACCTCTAAAATAAATAAAATCTTTAAAAAAATTAAAAAAAGAAAGTAAAATGTGCCTACTAGAATACCAACAATAGTAAAATCTACAGACTCATCAATACTATGCTAAACATTACACACATTATTTCATTTATTGCTTACAGACCTCCTTTGAAGACGGCACTCTTATTCATAATAAAATTAAGAAATTGGTCACAAAAGTGATTGGGAACGTGCTCCAGGTCACAGGAGAGTCAGTGACAGATGTAGATCTCAAATTGAAGTGTCTCTGTAGCTAAGGCCTTTGCTCTTCAGTACTATATCATATGAGTCTATTGAAGTTCAAGGTATAATGTAAGTTGTTGAATTCCATTGGTGTAGCCATATAGAAAAGTTTCAAAATAGTACCAATGCTATTGGTCATTTCAATGAAAAAAATCATTCGGCTTTTGAACACTTTCTATAGCTTCTATCTTGTGTGACTATGATAAGGCATATTCCGGAGCCTCAAAGGTTTTGTAATCCAATAAGAGAGCATCAAGATGATCCCACTGGGATTAGTGATGGATAATTAAAGGGATTACTTGATTTGTAATCAAATTTCTAGTTTCTATATGAATTCTATAGGAGTTCAGAGAAGGGGTATTTAAAGGAGCTTCCAAAGGAAAGCTTAGAACCTAGCTTTGATACTGTACACATGAGTGCAACTGTTTGGTATTTACCAAATCCCTTATCTATCAGACACCTGCCTATGCTTTGGAGATACAGTTAGACATAGGAAATATCAAACAATACATAGAGTATACAGTAACTCATAGGCAAGGGCCAATTCTTTGAGATTGATTATATGGATGAGGAAGGTGAATGTTGAGCAGAGAAGCCAGTACCAGGAAGTTCAGAGCTACAGGTCAGACATGTCAGCAAGGAGGTTGTGATGGGTAGAGGCATGAAGATGGGAAGACACACGTGGTCATGAACAGTAAGGGCTGGACTAGCCTCATGGTGGGCATATCATAGGTGCTCAATAAATACCAATGTACAAAACACGGGATGCATGTGTTCTGATGAAGGCATGCTTATGTAGCACCATGGACTTTTCACCTTGGTGGCATTTATGACACTTTTCACCTGTATCTATTTGTGCTATGCACACCCTGGTCATAGGGAAACTGAGTATTAAATTAGAGAACAAATTGGGTCATGGAAATACAGAAGAAAGAGGATGCAGACAGACAGAGAAGTGTTTACGGTTTTGTTGGATTGGAGGCCATATGAAATTATTTTGATATGGGGAACACAATGAAAAAGAGTGAAGGAAAACAGGTTTTGGGGCATACGCAGAACAGAGAGTGCAGACAAGGATGGGAGGATGACAGTGGGGGGACGAGATATAGATATTTCCTTTCCTTGCTTCTCTGTAGTGTTGAGTAAGTCCTTTAGTGGTCATTGGATTTATATGTAGGTCTCTTATCCCACAATATATCTCTCTTTTAAAGCAAGAGTTCAGTATTTCCCACTCCCCAGTGCCTGGAACATTGCCTGGCATCTTGAATGAATGAATGAGACCCACTCTGAAGAAGATAAAACAAATTTAGTGACTGGCCAGTTACAGAATGTAGGAAAATCAGAGTCAGATGATTTTGAACTCTGGTTTGAACAAAGGGAACTGGGTTGTATTCACCACACCTTTTCACATTCCATATTTCTGATGCTTTGACATCAGGGGCCCTGCTGACCCTGGAGAAACTGTTCTTCCCAGGGCGAGCCAATTCCTGGAGATAGGGAACAGCTTGCCTCGGAGCATACTTCAGTTCATATGCAGTCTTAGCCACAGCATATCTCCCCATCACCTCCTTCCTCTGGCCTACTCTCACATTCAGGACTACTATTCCCGTGCTCTAATTGCCCCAGCACCGGACATCAGACAATGAGGCATAAGCCTTACCCCCTGGAGCCTACTGAAATTATACCAAGTAACCAATACGAAGCCTGCTTACTCTACCCTGCTTGTTTTTCCCAATGAACACCACACAAAGTCTCTTGCTCATGTTTTTCCCTTACTCTCTGCCTTCCCACTGACCCCATGTAGCCTTGTATTATGTGCAGTGACCTCTCCTCCTTGGAAATGTGAAGAACAAACTCCCTTTCCAACAGTAATTGTCTCTTGACCTTTTGGCTTCACCATAATTGAAAAATAATAAAACTTACATTTTTAAATCAGTGTCCCAGTGGGAATAACAAGGGCTTTGGAAATAGACTTAGATAGAAATGTTCAGTCTAAATTTATCTTCTGTGCAATCTTGGAAAAGTTACTTAACCTCTCAGAGCCTCATTGCTTATACAAAATGGGAATAATAAAACTTGCATTGTGGGGAAGGTTGTGATGAGCATCTGTTGGGTGGCTTTCAGTTCATAATACCTATGAGGGGGTCCTCAAAGATCCTGTGGAAAATGTGTATTATGAAAAAATGATGCATGCATTTCAAATTTTCTACCAGAATATACTCATGTAACTCTTAACATGTAATAACATGTCTGAACAGGATCTTGTTTGAGGCAGCAAGAAAGATAAGACATTACTCTGGAAAGAGCCTCTATCAGAACAACATGAATTCAGCTAAAAACGAAGCATGAACATGTATCAAATGGATGCTTAGGTGAAAGAATGGTGAAATCATTGATTCTTTATTAAAAAACTTATAGAAACAGTGTCCCAGAGAAATCGCCAGGTTTTAAATGGAGGACTCATTTTAGGAAGGGATGAGATGGATGTCCAAGATGAAGCCTGCAGTAGCAGATCATTTACATTAATTTTGGAGGAAAAAAATTAATCTTGTTCATGCCCTGATTGAACAAGACTGACAATTAGCTACAGAAACAACAGGCAACATGAGAGACATCTCAACTAGTTTAGTGATACAATTCAGACTGAAAAATTAAAGTGGAGCAAGCTTTCTGTCCCATGTATACTAAACTAATACACCCACATCAGTTGCAGACAAGAGCAGAACTTTCAATGGAAATCTAAACTAAGTGGGACCGAGATCTTTAGGCATTTTTTTTTTTCCTAATAAATTGGAACAGGAGACATGGCTTCACCAGTGTGATCTTGAAGACAAAGCACAACCAAACTAATGGTTATCAAGTGGTACAAGTTGTCCAGCCAAAGCAAATGTGGACCAGTTATCAGTAAAGGTCATGGTGACAGTTGTGTGGGATGCTTGGGACATTTATGATGTTGCCTTTCTAGAGATAACATCTGCTTGCTAGGAGAGTGTTTAGAAAAAGTTAAACAAAGCTTTCACAGAAAAACCGCAACTTCTCCAGGTATTATTCTCTATCATAGTATTTCTGTTTATTCCTCCTATCAAAAAAGGGAAGTAGTCCAAGAGTCTTAAGAGGACAATAGCAGGTATCTACCTTATAATCCTGATTTGGCTCCTTCTGACTAATTTTTTTCTTCCCAATCTTTTTTGGTGTTGTTGTTAAACATTTATTTATTTACTTGAGAGGCATAGTTACAGACAGAGAGAGGGAGAGACAGAGAGAGAGGTGTTCCATCTGCTGGTTCACTCCCTATAATGGCTGTAATGGCTGGAGCTGAGCCAGGAGCCAGGAGTTTCTACCAGGTCTCCTGCCTGGATGCAGCAGCTCAAGCACTTGGCCCTCTTCTACTGCTTT